GGTTGGGCACCCCCCCCTCAGCCCCCCCAAAAAAAAAAAAAAAAAACTATTTAATGGATGAAGAGGGCCAACAGAATCATTGATACCACTGTGATGTATGCATGAATGATTAACTCTTGAGCATGCTGAGAATGCATTGGAATCTGATACAGACATGAGACACTTTCCTCTTTAAATCTGACCTTTACTGTATATGTTCCCACTGCCGCCACTAACGGAATGATGCAGCCTATTTCTTGGACATTGCTCCTGCCTGTGTTTGTCATGTCTGGCCTCCTGCGGGTCTCCGGGAGCACATGGTGTACATTAATTAGGTATTCTGGGACCTAAGTCTGTACTTACTCAACCTTAACGACCCTGTTTGTGCCACAGCGACATTACACAGTGTTCGGCAGATTCCTGCGGTCATTGCTTAGACCTTGAGTTTTCTGTCATCATCCTATTATTTTATAACCTTGGTTATGCAAAACACTTTGGCATTTGTGATGACAGGAACGAGACTTCATGTCCTCATAAAAGCCCTATTCCAGTTTCATACCTTTTTAATGATGCTGCAGCCGGGCAGTTTCTTAACTGTACTATTACAGTTCCTTCTCTTCTATTTGCAACTAATGAAATTTGAAAAATATATAAAAATTGTGGAATTCTGCTTCCACTGATTTTTTTTATTTTTTATTAAATGCTTTTAAATTAAGCACTTGTCAATCCTGAACTCTGTTATCCCCCTACAGAAGCATTACAGCATTGTACCTGCACGTGGCCAACACTAAAGGACTGTGGTTGTACAGGACCACAAGCAGTGTGCAACATAATGTGATGCAAAATGATGCTGATCATTTGATTAGATGTGTGGTAACAAAATAGCACAAAACCTTTGACTTGGTGTCTCCGTAACTCTTTTCTGTCACTTGTATTGGAAACTGGCGTCAGTTTATTGCCATAATCAGATAGAACTAAATGAGGCACCGAACCAACTGTAACACAATTACAGTTTAATTAACGAGTGTTTTACTGTTCAGTGACATTTATGCTCAGGGCTAAAGACAAAGAATGTCTCCACAAGATGACACTG